GCAGATCTGTGTCCTCCCCAGATCTCATACTGCACTGTAATCCCCAGTGTTGGAGGTGGGGCCTGCTGGGAGGCAATTGGATCATGAAGGCGGAATTCCAGTGAATGGTTTGCACCACCCCTCTTGGGACTGTCCTGGTGATGCTGAGTGAGTTCTCGGGAGATCTGCTCATGTGAAAGTGGGCAGCACCTCCCCCTTCACTCTCTCTTGCTCCCGCTCCCACCATGTGAGATGCCTGCCCCCACGTCGCCTTCCGCCATGATAGGGAGTTTCCTGGGACCTCCCAGGAAGGCTACGCTTCCTGTACAGCCTGCAGAACTGTGAGCCAATTAAATTTCTTTTCTAACAAATTACCCAGTGTCTTTATAGCAAAATGGACTAATATCGTTGGTATAACTTGAAATCTAGGTTGACTGGCAGCCTTCTGCAAACTACAGTCCATAAACTGCTTTGGTCTATACCCATGAACGAAGAACAGCTTTTACATGAAGAGAAGAAAATGATTTAGATGATTAAAAGGAAAGCAAAAGAACAATAATGCTATATAACTCAAGAAAACGATATGAAATTCAAATTCAGCATCCATAAATAAAGTTTTATTGGACACAGCCATACCTGTTCATAATGTATTATCTGGGGGATACTTTATTGCAACAATGACAGGTTGAGTCATTGCAGAGAAATTGTCCAAACCCCTAAAATATTGACTATCTGGATCTTCAAAGAAGTGGCTTAGCAGCCTCTGCTGTATAACAGATAAAAATCAATGGGCTAGGGGGTGCGATCATATCGAAAAGATGGTAGGCATCCCCCAAAGAAGCTGAAAATTATGTACAGGAAGAAGCCCACATGACCACAATCTGGAAGATGTCCTATCTATTAAGATGCCAAAGAGAAAGAACACAGGCCAGGCGCAGTGGCTCACGCCTGTAAGCCCAACACTTTGGAAGGCCGAGGTGGGCAGATTGCTTGAGCTCAGGAATTTGAGACCAGCCTGGGCAGGCAACATGGTGAAAACTCATCTCTACAAAAGATACAAAAATGGGCCAGTCGTAGTGGCCCACACCTGTAGGCCCAGCTACTCAGGAGGCTGAAGCAGGAGAATTGCTTAAACCCAGAAGGTCAAGGCTGCAGTGAGCTGTGATTGTGCCACTGCACTCCAGCCTGGGCAACACAGCAAGACCTTGTCTTAAAAAAAAAGAAAAAGAGGCCAGGCGCGGTGGCTCAAGCCTGTAATCCCAGCACTTTGGGAGGCCGAGACGGGCAGATCACGAGGTCAGGAGATCGAGACCATCTTGGCTAACACAGTGAAACCCCGTCTCTACTAAAAAATACAAAAAACTAGCCGGGCGAGGTGGCGGGCGCCTGTAGTCCCAGCTACTCGGGAGGCT